TTTGTGTACTGCTTATGCACTCCCAATCATTGACTCTACCTGAAAACATAACAGGACCTAAACAATATCGCCCTTAGATCTTCCAGAACCATACCAGCTAAGCGCAGTAAACGTATGTGAGCAGACCCAAAATCACTGGGAAGTGCTACTGAACTAGTTCGGCACTAGAATGGAATACGACGTAATTGATCTAGCCGCCGTTGATGGACGACACCCGGTGCCTGCCGTGCTGATAGTGCTGCCGGGAGCGCCATTGCTGCCGAACGGAGCTGCTGACCCCACCGGATGCAGCTGCCGACCCCGCCGGACGCAGTGTACTCTCCCCCGAATACCCCCTACTGCCATTCCTCCCCAGGTGCAGACTCTCTGTCCTGTCCATTCTGAAGCCTTGAGATTGCCTGCCATATTTCCTTGCAGGTATCACGGTGACGAGGCCAATCACTAGCGCCGATGAGTAATTGATCGGCAGCATTAGCATCATTACGTACTTCCTTTGGCAGGCCTTGGAGTAGTAGTGGGCTCTTCCACATCCAGAGCAAGTGCTTTTACCTTCTTGTAGGCATCCGCAGCTGCAGAAACCTGACAGATACCTTCGGATACTGGGACGAACATCCAGTAGTCGCACCTGCTGGGGACTAAGCGGTGTAGGGCTGTGCCGGCGCAGGTAAGTTTTGGCAGCAACGGTCTGATGATCCAAGAGCCGACGCCCGTCACACATGCCGGTCAAAAGGCCCCACGAGGGAACCTTGATGCCGCAGCCAGGAATGAAGAAGTGGTCGAGGACGGCATCGGCAGCAATGTTCACATCGACAGATAGGGATATATGTCGGTGAAGAGCTTGCCGGACATCTCTGTATGAGCAGTAAGAGCACGGGATACCTGCTATGTTGTGCAACTTACTGGTCTTCCGGCTCTGCCGATTGAATGAGCAGAACAATGGTGGACGCCAAGGTGCCGGCATTGTCGGCAGACGTGATGCGATCATGGCAGCAAGCCAATAGGGCCCGTAGGACGGCCATCACGGAGTTGACAGTCAAGGGTTTAGTCTTGACAGTAGGATGACGGGCTAGAACATGCTGATGGAGTGCTAGGAAGGCGACCATGCCGATTGCCGTTTGGGCCGTCAAGTCCGGAATCTGAACAATCAATATGCTGCCGTAATGTCCGAATGAAGTAACTTACAGTGTCCTCAGCTTCTGCAATCCTGTCAATGACTCGTATGAGCTGCTGAGCAACGAGC